CAATGCTAAGCTTCATCACCTCTTCGTCAAAGCTGGATTATAAAAGAAACAAGTTTAAGGAACAGAAAGGTTGAAAACAGCTTTCCTCTGATACTCTGATCTTCTGATAGTTAAATAAATTTTACAAATCTAACTCAGCTGCCCTTGTAAAGGTGATACACATCTTATCTTCAGTGAAGAGAATTGAGATCTTTCTTGAACTTGTTCATAAGCTATAATACCTGCAATTGTCTATATACTTACACAAGTTATATACTGGTACCAGTCAATACAAGCAACTCCGCAGAAATTTCGCGTTACATTACTGACACTGTAACCACTAAGTTACATTTGTAAAGGCCCACCATTTCTGTAGTTTAAAACTAGTATGCTAATAGACACCCTATTCTCCTGTTCAACCTACCGGAAAACACTTCCAAGTCTACAGCTATTTGGTTTTGCTTAGGTTTAATTAAAATTAACAGATAAGCAGAAAACAACTATGCAACTCGTGGATCTATGGACTGTAGTAAAATTACTGAGAAACAAGTAGTTTTCACCTTTATGTCTATTTAAATAAAGCTATTTGCAGGAGCTGAAAGCAGGTACTTCTAATAAACAGAAGGATGGAATATTAAGAACAGGAGTAAAAATCCCCTGCAGGCTGTTTCTGTATATAAATTGCAACACAGTCATGGCAACCTGAAGACTATGAAGAGAGGAACAAAAGCTCACTCTTTCTTTTCAGTCTTTAGAGCTGACAAGTAAAGGGTAATAATCTTGGAAAGCTAAGAGATATACAGCCTTTTAGAAGCATCTGGACAATACAGCACACGGAAATCCTACATACCTTCTGAAAACTGAGCAGGACACAGAGGCTTGATTCTTCACTCAATTCTGCATACTAACTTTGGTGGTGGGACTTCCCCTCACCCCAGATCTGTTCCTGATAGGTACTTAATGACTGAACTGCCTCCACCTGGTAACTTTTTCTGACTCTTTCAACAAAGAGCTAACAGACACAAGCATTCAGCTATTCTAGCAAGTTCCATGCATTGCACAAAATGAAAAGCTGATTTTTTAAAAGAGCGATGATCACGAGTAACAAACAAAAGATTATTCCAGAATAGACTTATACAGGACAAGCTCAAAGAAACCAGACAGGCAAAGATAGTGTTGGAATTTTTGTCAGTATACCAGTAACAAGATTTGCAAATTGAATAATTTCTGGGTCTTGTTACTTAAACCATCATAACTAGAATTTTTCTTTAGGACACTCTTGAACAAAAATAATGCAGGACTATGAAAATTTTGTAAACATGGCACATTGTCCAGTATAACTATTCTCTGCTTTTTTACAAAAAAAAACAATGCAGACTGCAAATATGTTTTTTATAATATCAAGTACATCAGATAATAAAATTTTATAGAATTACTCTGTTGAAAAGTTGAGACTGAGACTGAACTTGGTAACAAAGGACACAGCATGAGTACATGAATTTGAGCAGCCAGTAAAAAATTTCACCTGTGATTGACATTGTGTCAGATACCACAAAAATATTTTCCTAAATAAATGTGTATCTTCCCCTTCTCTTTAAGAAGTATGATGTAGAAATAATATGTATAATTTCTCCAAGTTATTAGAAGAATAAGACCTTCTTAGTAAGAAAAGTTACTTGATTTATGTAGTAACAAGCAGATTAAAGTGAGCAATATATACATTTATGCTTAAAACTATTATTATTAAAGTAGAATCATAATCACAGAAAATTTATTAAACTAATTGCTGTAGTATGCAAGTTGAAATTATACTTTAAGTTTTTCTTCTATCAATTTATTTTCCTGTTTAACAGAGTAGTGTCTGTTGAAAAATAAATCATCTTATTAGGTAATTAACTGGCTGGAAGGCTGGGAGACCAACTTACCCAGTAGGAAAATTTAAAATAAGGACTGGTGAAGAACAATGAACAACAAAAAAATGTTTGACCAAACAGTAGCCTTTTGTCTTTCATTGCTTCAGGTGCATTTATTAAATATTTGCTGCATTTTCTATCATTTTCCACAAATTTTAAGCTGATTTGCTCTGATACACCACTGTATCACAGACTCAAGGCAAGGTAACAATTTATGTAACATTCCCTGCTGCTAAAGTAATTTAGCTCACCAAGTATAAATCATAATTTGGACAAATGCTGCCAAAATTAAAAAAAAAAAAAAAAAAAAGGATTTTTCATTTCATAAGCATAAGTCAACTGAGTTGCAATTGCCACGACTCTACAATTGCCACGACTCTACTACTATGAACTAGGAATTTCCAAATGTAAGAGATCACATGTTCAATTATTTTGAAGCCGCTATGATGTTGCTAATGGGAAGACAGAAAAAACTCATTCACTTTAGCACTGAACTTCAGATTCTCCATTAAGCTGAGCTATGCCTCCACTGACTTTTGCAGCATTTTTGTGTTTAACAATAAGACCTCAAAGCACCAACTGGCCCAAAAAGAGGAGGGAGTGACTTGTCTACTGGCAAATACAAGCCAATGTAATGCCTTCAACGTCCCCATCACCACACTGCCTACCATCCCGCGGATTGAGTTCAGATCTCAAACACGTTCTGAGCCTCCTGTAGGAGGTCTCAAGAATATCAACGACAAAACCTTCTGTCAACAATGAAACACTAAAGGATTACAATAGAATTAGTCCATCTTCACTACAGGACTTTCTGCATGATTACTCTTCTGCACGCTTCTGAGCTATCACAAGCCCATCTTCGCCACAAAATCCAAGGTTACTGTTTTTGAATATAATTTGGACTTAATTGCACATAATAACTTTGGAATAATAATTAGTATTAGAAGAAAAATCATCAATATCCAACTAACCAATAGTTATATCCATTTACCCATTCCCACTCTTGCAGAGAAGAAAAAAATCAGCTTTGTATACAGATCCTGTGCAGGAGTTTATGTAGCTCTGGTACTGTGAAGGCGGGGTGGGTTCCCTGACAGATTTGTTAGTTGGGCACCCACATCACTAAATCCAGAATCCCTTCACACAGGACCTCTTCTCTACAATAATCCCACTCTGTGCCAAAGGCCAGAGTCTATCGCCTGGCTGATGTCCTCCATTCCCCACTTGTTTAAAATTTAAAGACGTTCATGCTGTGACCCGCACTGCACATGACAGTCAACACTCGCAACACAATTTCATTCTTTCATTCTCACCTCCCCCTTAAAGCTCTCTGTTGTCACGATGCTTGGATAAATTGCCAACAGTAAGGGTATTGCCGTGTGGTGGCCAGAATCCATCAGGCTGACCGAGAGTGCTTCATTCTTTTCCTTCACTCACCATCTGTCTGTATCCATCTCCTATTATCTTAGGCTGTCCTTACAGACTGTATGCTGTCTGGGGTAATAACCATCTTTTCTCATTCTCTATCTGTAAAAACCAGCATGGAGTTCTCCTCCATAGTTTTTATTAAAACAATAACAGTGGAGCTGTTCAATACAGATTTTGTAAACTTTGGTTTATACAAAGAACAAAAAAGGTCAGAGAATGAACAAAAAAAAAAACAACAACAAACTACATCCACTTCTTCCTATCCAGTTCTACGTTCCAAGACTTCTCTCCCCTGTTCCAGAAAAATCAGTTTCTCAGTTTCCAAAAAAGCATACATTTAAATATACATGTTAGGTTATGACTGTAAGAAAATATTTCAATATTTCTCTTAAAAGAACACAAGCCCTACTAATTCAACACAGGAAAAGTTATTACATAATAAAAACCATCTATATGATTTCACTGTAATTGACATGTTTTGTAAATGACCCAAAATATGCAAAGTCTTCTCTCTGAAGGGCAGCTGGTCATTTAGCAATACAAAAGAAACAGAGCATTTTTAGAGGGACATTTTAAGTACTCTCTGTCACTAGTTAAATATTTTCTCCCATTTTCACTGATAGAATAATCTCACTACAGGTCTCATCCCTACTTGCCATCTGGAAACACACTCTCCACTTAAGCGACTGACAGCAAAAATAAAACCGGGACCCTTGTTAGTTCTCTCAACACTGACAGCACAAGCCCACGACCCCCTCCTTTCATTCCTACACACTCAGACCCTTCTTAGGACTGACCCACAAGTAACGTTTCTTTTGTTTGTTTGGGGAGGAACTTTTTCATTTAGCCCTACAATCACTATCAAAGTAAACTGACTACATTTTGCCTCTCTTCACAGTAAAAAGAGAGAAAAAATCCAATGTCCTAACATCACTTTGGCTTCAGAGCGGTCACCACAAAAATCACACGCTGCAGCAGCAACTTGCGCTTGATTTTTCTCCCTAATTCTGTGTCACCTCCACTACATCACGCTTTCATCCTGCACCTACCACTTGGTAGCTGCCCATCCTATCGAATACCGCAGCCCTACTTGGGAAGGGAAATATAAACCGCCAGGCATATCCCAATTGAAACATATGTCATGTGCCCTAAATTAACAAGCACAAATACTGTATTTACAGGAGTCGGGTATCTCCTCAGTTCATCACATCATGTCAGTGCTGTCAGCAAAGGGGAGTGGAAGGTAGGAAAGGAACGAAAAGGAGCGACGGAGACACAACGCGAAATAAATATTCAACACGCTCACAAAGTGGAAGAAATTTAATTTAGAAACCAATTAAATATTTAAACGCCTCGTCACGCCGGGGTAGTTCACGCCGGAGGTGAACCGGCTTTCCTCCTCCCCGGGCTGCAGCAGCCGGCGCCACGCGCCTGTCACCCTCCCATCGCCAAGGGGACGGGGGTGGCACGACCCCCGCTCCCCGCGCCCACCCCGCCACCGGCCGGACGAGGCAGCCCCGCAGCAAACGGCGGGGGAGGACACACACGACCCTGCCCGGCCGGGGCTGCCCCGTGCCCACCGCCTCAGCGCCGCGCCGCCGCCGACCGTTAGGCAGGGACGGCGACCGTTAGGCGAGGACGGCGACCGTTAGGCTGCGCGCGCCCCGCCCCCCGCCGCACCTGGATGTAGTTGGTCTCGCAGTACTCGGCCACCCGCTCAAGGTTCGTGTAGCTGTCGAACAGGGCCCGGCGCCCCCCCGGGATCTCCTCCTCTAGCAGCATCTGCAGCTCCGCCATCTTCACATCCTCTCACCCCGTCCGTCCGTCCGTCCGTCCGTCCTCCTCAGCGCGCGCCAGACCCCCACCGCGGCGGGGGCGGGGCGCGGCCGGGCAACACCTCCTGCGCATGCGCACGCCCCCACGCCCCCCTCACACACACACCCCCCGGTGCCCGGGCTTGGCCTGGCCTGGCCTGGCCTGGCCTCCGCTCCCGGCCGGAGACGAGCCGAGGGGAGCGGGCCTGGGGCGCTCCCGCCTCCTTCACCCGAGCAGCTCGTTAGAAAAGCCGCTGAAACGAGCGATTCCTGCATTATCTTCTCTTGGGGTTTTTGTAACGGCTGTTCGCGGGGAGGTGCACAGCCCCCACACTCCTGCCCCGGTGTCCACACACCGGTACACTCCGGCACCGAGTGTCTCACCGAGCGATTGCCCTCGGGGTGTCCCCCAGCACTGGAGCTGGCACCAGCCGCTGCTGCCCAGTGTTAGTCCCAAGGGCCAACACCAAAAAATGATGTGTGTTTTCCTTTTAGGAAGCCTTAGCTTTTTCTTTTTCCCATCATTTTATATTAATTTACTCGATAGCAGCTTGCTAGCAGCGCCCTTCCCAGAGCCACGGGTCTAGCACCACGTCTACTGATACCACTGGAAGCTTTGTCTTTGAATACAATGGGATCTAGGGTCGGACCCTCATGCTTTTAATGTAGCTGCTGCTCAGCTCTTCTGATCAGCAGAGGAAGAACAAAATGTTTCTTTTGTGCAAATTCCATCTGAAAAGATGCTATTGTACAGGGGCGAGAGGAAGGGTAAATTCTCAGCCGCCAAGGAGTCAGCTTTTCAACTTTTAACAGAGAAAAGCGTATAATGAAGGGTCAGCAGAAACAGAGGAAGGACAGCCTCCTGGCTAATGCACAACACTATAGCTGTGAGTTAGGAGCTCTGTTTGGTCAGTTCCTGGCTTTAACACTGACTTCCTTTATGTCCTGGGCAAGTCCTTCAGTATCTCTACAATTGTGATGAAAATTCCCACCCGTAGAGGAACGCGGAAGGCTTTCCCACTTAATTCCTTCACCTGACCCTAAAAATAGCATTTCTCCCACAAAAAACCCCACAAAACCAAACCCCCAAAAATGTGACCAGCCCCCAGCAGAAGTGTCCCAGCTTTCTCTAGGGCAGCTCATTTGTCTCTTTGAAATCAATTGCAGCTGTGATTACTTGCTTCACGTTCCCATGAGGCTCCACAGAGCTCCTGCTGCTTCTGCTGTAGCGCAGCCCTGGGTTATTTGACATCCCTTACATACTCTGACTCTGCAGCCTGATGTTTGCCCAGCCTTCATGTTACAGACCATTCTGACTAACTAGACAAGATCCAGTGCTGCTGTCCTTGTTCAACAACCCAATACTATGGGAACAGTTGTTCTCATGCCTGGAAAGCTGTTGCAAAGGCATCCAGCTAGATATGCCTGGCCTCCAGGTGACTTCTAGAGTTACAAACAGATTGCAAACACCTGGTGGGGTCAGGCAACAAAGAGGTAGTTTGGGGGCCAGTCTTTGTAAGTTTCTTTCCTTAAAAGAAAAAAGAGAGAGAAATTCCTGCCCTGGGGAATGTCTGCCTGGAGACATTTCCTCTTAGCTTGCTTAGTTCTCCCATGTGAAGGATGAGTCAGGCAGAGTGTTCATTATACTGCTTTAAAAGCCCTCATGAGCAAAGCATTTTTCTCCCATTTTTAAATGTGGGCTAAAATTCACAACTTTCAACAATGTGATTGTGTGTTTTAATTTCTCTTTAAGCAGCTGAAGTGCCAAGGGTAATCATATTTTACAGCTGTGGTAGCCTTAATCTCACAAAAAGGCTTAAGAATCACAGAAGACCCTGCTAGAGACCCCCCCCTGCAGCTCTCCACAGCAGGCACTGGCACTCCCTGCCCCAAAACGACCAAGAAGTGTCATGCAGCCTTGCTCATGGTGCCCTCTAGCCCCAAAGTTTATAAACCATGAATCATACACCAAAAAATACTAGTTTTGCTGCAGTTAAAGAATAAATCCTGGTTGTCGCCCCCCCTGCTGATTGCTAAAGCACCTTTTGAGAGAACTGATCTGAGCCTTCACAGCAAAGAAAAGCTGACCAAATCAACTCATAAAGGGCTGCTGTACAGCGTGGAGCTCCAAGCTTTGCCCCACGCTGCCAAGAATCAGCCATGGCCAGGCCTCCACCTCACCCTAGGGCATGCAAGCTGATGAGTAACACCTTCACACTTCGGTAATGGGCCCCACGCTCCCTCCTCCACAGTAGCTTCAGCTTGGACTCTGCTCACATTGCATCTGCTGCCGCTGCAGTTCCAGGGGTTGTTCACACCCACGCTCCCAGGACTCTTCCTTCACGTTTGCCCCATGCTGGAGGCAGGCTGAGGCTTTCCTTCTCTCTTCATTCATTTGCTCCTCAGGTGTGAAGTCAAGCTGTCATTTGGCAGCTCCCCAGTAAACCTGCATGATCTTTCTCTTGGCAAAAGGAGAAAGCTGTCAAGATATAAAGAGGAAGGTTCTCCAAAGATGCTGATAGGAGTTTTAACTTGGATTAGCAGCACCAGACTGTAGGGAGGGGAAACTGTTAATTGTCTCATCTTCTCTGTGTGCTTTTGGGTGCCATCAGGGCCTGCTTTCATTGGAAACCTGCAAGAGCTCATCTGCTCTCAGATCTGCAATCAGCACCACCAGCCTTCTCACAGGGAGCTCCCACCCTGCGGATCAGGCACCTCTTGACCTCTTGGTGGCCCTGCCGGTGTTTTTTAGGGTGTAAGAAAAAGCATTATCTGAAATATGTGCACACAGCTGTTCACCAGAGTAGCTGGACTAACCTGCCTGCATAATTAGGTGCTTGTTATCACAGCATGTTTACATTTTAATAGGGTACTCTTTTGTGGATTTAAATTTAAATATGAAGAGCCCTCCTGTCAGAATAATGGCCATCCTGTAATCCTCTGTACACATACCAAAAATAATTAGAAATATTGTTTAAATTAGACCAACTGAATCCAACTACCACTTCCCTAAATTTACATAAATGACTTTCCATCTGTCAAGTGATGTGTTAAACTAATTTTAAATTTTTATACTCCCTCAGTGCTAATTACAGCATTATACACTTTAACTTTTCCAACTTTTTTTTAATCCTTTTGTGCAAGATTTTTCCTTAGATCAATATCTTCAAGACTGGGAAGCAAACTCATTTTCCACCTAAACATGCTGTTCAAACAGTCACCAGAAAATAGAAAGGCCTGTATCTAGCTGGAGACTCCACATTAGAGGTTGAGATCCAAAAGCACAGACACCGTTATTCCTCCAAGTTCTCTCACATGCATTACGTTTTTACCTCTTTGGCCAATCACCCAAGGGAGTGCCCTGCTTGCAAAAACTTGCACAGACAAGCAGATCCTTTGGTCATGTGCAGTCTTGCAGCTGGGCACTTTGTGTGCATGTCCCACATGTCACACTCTGAATTATCAATTCTTAATTAGAGAAAAGTAATAATGGGGTAGCTCAAAGGCCACGTATTTTTCGCAACACAGTAAGAAATCACAGTCAAAAACCTCTTCCATTTTCTTTGCTGTATGGAAAACTGAACAGCACAATCACCACATCAAGGAATGTCAGTAAACATCCCATTTAGACAGATGACCAGGTCAGATCTCTGACAGACCCTGCTGCAGGTTTTCAGTTCACTTCTGTAAATAACTTTGCTCTAGTTTTATGAGGTTTCCCATTTCTGAGCATTTTTCCCCTTTTTTTTTTTCCCCCCACATTTTGTAAATGGTAGAAACAAAAGCCGAAAATCGCTGTGCTTGCTGCATCACATGGAGCTGAGCAGATTTGCAGATGGATAAACAACAAAGGACTCTGACAGCAAACATACGGTCATGTGTACAGACCATATACAGAGGCCCATGCCTTTTAGCCAGAAGGTAACATTTACTGGAGGGGTGAGGGAGGAAAGGAAAACTGGAGGATTGAAGAAAATAATCTAACTGAAATATGTACCTTCACTCCTTCAATAAAGCCAAAGTCGTGCCATCCTGCTTGTTTCACATAGTATCTGGATCCGCCTCTGGCTGACTGGTGGGTCTTTGCCAGTCTCATAATCCAAAGCTCCTGAAGCAAAGGGCAGTTTATTTAACTCCCACCGCTATCCCAGAATGCAGCTCATACACGGCCAGTGCTGCAACAAATGGTATCAGGATCCCAAGGCGTCTTAAACACTCAAGCTCCAGTCCTCACTGTAAAACAGAATGAAAAACCCACACACTCCGCAGCTGCACATTCTCCTCCTGCTTCCTTGGGCATTCAGCTATTTGCTGGGCAATCAAGACGGTAACCACAGATAACCTCTCTGCTTATGAGATGCTGCCTCTGGGTAAAGCACTTGCTGCAGGAAGGGTAGGAGGAATGACCCATAGGGTAGTTTACATCTCATGGAAGCGCTGGCCCTAACATGGCTATTTTAGAACCAACTCAGCCAGAGGCAGCGATGATTGACACCTGATACCTCACAGCACCTCCAGAGAGGGACAGGACATGCTGCAGAAATTCAGATTGTTCTAGGACATGTCTCATTCCAAATACCAAGCTTTTTTTCATAGGAAAACAAGTTTTCTCTTGAACTTTATTTCAACACACACTGTGTGAGAAGGACAGAGCCAGTATAGGGGGAGAAACTCTCTGAGGGAGGAAGAGGTCAAGCTAAATAGGAAAAATAATGATCTCTTTCTAACATTTCAGACTTAAAAGAAAACAGGCAACAAATAGTCTCAAAGAGAAGCCAGCACAAAGCACAGTTGCTCATCAGTTTTCCTCCAAGGGTTCAAAGGACAAAGCTTTCAGGGAGGATGGGGGGAAAGAACCTCTCTAATTTGTTTTTCTTTCCTGCCAACCTTCCAACCTTGATTCCTTCTCAAAGATGCCAACCCAGACCAACTGCCACTCCTTTCCCACCCTGTCCTGACTTATGTGGAACCCCCCAGGAAAGGTGTGATACAGCTGCTGAGGAGATAGGCCCTGGAGGGTAGATAGGAG